TCCAACTCCATCCCTTTCTTAAAACCCCAGTGACTAAATAGTCTATTTTCAAACCCTTCATACTTCTGCCATTAACTCGTCTATTTGTAAGCAGCCCCCACATTTCCATTCCTCTGCACTCCTGGGTACCATGAGCTGGAGTTCGCTCTCTGGAGGTTTTTGTTAGGAAACAAGGATGAAAATAAAACAGTAATGTTCTTGCTTTTTTCTGTATTTTTAGAATATTTTGTGACCTAAATGAGCTGGAAAGGGAGAAGGTGATGTATTTCATTCTCAGCCATTCCAAAAAACCTTTTGGAAAGAAAAGAAAGCAGAGCTCCTGTTGATACGGGAAGTGAGGAGGAGTGAAGGGAACAGATTCTGCACCACCCAAAGAACAATTGTGTGAATATTAATGAACCTGAATCCCAGTGTCTGCTCTTAAACACACAGTATTCCTGGACAGATAGGTACTGTTTTGCAAATATCAGGCTTCCAAATTCTTTTGTTTCATTGAAAAATGAACATTTTTCTTCTATTTATCTTAAAGGATGCAATTTTCACAAGAAGAAAGAAAGGTAAACAATCCGTATTGACTCCTAACTGCTCTGAACAGATTTGACAAATTAAACTCTCATGAAATTTGGAGAGGAAACATGTCTCATCTCTGGGGAACAATTAATTCGTTTGATTGTTTGCTTGCACTAAAGATTGGGCTTTTCAGTTCAGAAAGCTGTGCCGTGTCACAGTGCTACAGAAGGAACTCTCTCTCGTAACATCAAACACTGGTATGAATTACTGACCTGAAGGAGTCCCTCAGAAATGATGTGTGCTCAGAAGCGTCAGATCAACAGCCACCTGTGCACTCCATGAGGTTCTTATATTTTATAAGACACTCTTACACTTTATAAGGCAGCTTGGTTTCAGTGGTTATATTTGGAATAGGGATACGATACTAAGTTCCTCCAGATGTTTCACTCTGAAGAAGCTCAGACAGCAACTTTCTAGGCACTCTGTTTTGAATTGGACTCTGGAGGAGGGTGAGAAGGATTTTATGGAGGAAGATGGGCTGGCTGGTGGCTGCCTGGCTCAAAGGAGTGATTTCCTATTTGCAGACTCACTTGGTTTGTGTAATTAACTGTAGTAGCAGTTTTAGAGCCTGCAATAGTTTGGTTTTGGATGAGAAGGCAACCCATAGGGCTGTTTCCCTCTGCTTGCAGTGCTCTCCTTCGTAGGACATTTGAGAAGTACCCAAATGTGCTGTATCAGGGCACCAGGCATAAAGGGAAAGGAAAGAAGAGGATTTAGGTCAAGAGACCAAAAGAAGATGATGAAGGAACTTCCTTTGGGTGAAAGAAAGTTTTGGGGCTGGAAACAGCTACAGACCTGCTCTGCTTGCACTGGGGACACAGACATGTGCCCCCTGCCTTATGAATATTTCAGCAGCTGGGAGGCAGAGTCCATAACCTCCTCCCTTCATTTCAGGCAACATAAGGACACATCAAATTAATCTCACAGCAACAATAATGGGCTGCACCAAGACTTGGAGAAACAAGGAAACAGTGGTGTTTTCTTTTTGAAATATGCCCAAGCCTTGCTTGTGCCTACAATGAAGTCACTCATCAGTGCTGTTGCTGTACAGCTGCTTCCTCCAGCACTTTGTAAGGACCAGCTTCTCCAGTTCAGCACAGAAAATGGATAGCAACTCTGCTCCCTGCTTGATGCAGCAGAGAAAGGAGAGATCAAGTCCTTCCTTGAGATTCACACAGTGTAGCTCTTGAGGTGACAGTGGTGTAGGCAATGCAGGGTGCTGTGGCGGCAGAGGAGGACGTGGGAAATCCCATTTTGCTGTCTGAGGGCTCTGTGTACAGGGTGGGAGCCAGGACAGCCACTGCCCAGGGAACCACGAGGATCAGTGGGGGCACTGCCAGGCCTTTCCAGTTGTTGGCTTACTGAATGGACGCCCAGCCTGGGATGATCCTTGGGCAGCAAGAGCAAAGCTGCAGCCACCAATCTCCTCCACCTTCTCTCCTTTTCCCTCTTGCCCCAGGCATGCTCCAGCCTTAGTCTTGCAGTAGCTGGCGAGGTCCTGCCTCAACCACTGCTCTCCTGCTCTTTTGTGTACAGCCATGCCACACGGCTGTAGCCTCAGAGCACCCTGTCCCCTACAGTAAATCTCCATCATGCCCTCCAGAAAAGGCCATTCTGCTCTGATTCCCCACCCCACCTTGCCTTTACACATGTGCTTTGCAGATATCACTGTGTTCAACTGCTTCACACTAACTTCTGCTACTTGTGCTTGTTTTCCTTGCCTAGAGTTAATGGGAATATGCTGGTGTCAGGACATCTTCTCCATGGAAGGCTGGAGCAAGGCTTGGCATGCCATTGGATGTAGATATGTAAGTACAACATTAAATTTTCAGACACTTATTCCCCAGTGACACTTCACAATTGGTTTTCCATCCCACCTTATTAATGATAACCAACATTTACGTAGCTCCGAGAAAATACTGTCTTTCAAGATAAGCATGTTAAAAAAATGAAATTTAATGCCTTTTGGATAAGCACATAGCAAGATTAACAGTGCACTATAAGGCTACACAGCTGCAACAAATATTACAGCCCTGCCTTTGTCTGGTGGAAAACAGCACAAAGTTGCCTGAGAGATATTGCTGTGTTTGCAGTGACCAAGGTCTCGTAAGTATTTAGTAAAAAATTCAACCTGGCTTTCAACACAAGATGTACCACACCAAACTGATATCCCATACAGAATATGCAGAAAGTTAAATGTCCCCAAGAAGCACTACTGGCCAAAAGAACAAAGCTGTGGCATTTACCCATGGTCCAAAGGTTCATTTGGGGATGAAAGTCCCCGATGTTCCCTGGAAGCCCCAGCCCACATTTCAGATCTGCAGTGAGATCTCAATGAACTGGCAGCACATGGCTGGCAATATCACACAGCTGGCTATTTGCTAGGAGGAGAATTAGGAAACGATTCAGCCAAATGATAATACAACAAATGTATTATTAAAAAAAAAAAAAAAAAAGGAAAAAAGAAAAAGAAAAAAAAAAAGCATGAAAGAGAAACACCAATGCCACACTTCTCCCTGTGCAGCTTGGATTACCTGGTTTGGTGACACTTCGGCTCAATGGGAGGATGGTCTTGTCCCTCTCATTTCCTGGTAGGTACCAGTTTTATAGTCCTCCCCTGGAGGAGGAGCCCGCAGCCAGTTGCTTCACATATTGGCACTTGTAGCATTCTGGAGACAGGAATTTCCTTGAACTTTGTCAGTTATTGTCCTAAATCTTTTATTATTTCCTGAAACCAAAGGGGTTTCCCTTCTGTTTAGCACAGAAAAACCACCCCTCCTCGTCAATTCCCCCCACCCTCTTAGTCCCCAGAGGCTGATGTCATCTCACTTGAAATTCAGTTCAAAAAAAAAAAAAAAAAACCAACAAAAAAAAAACACACACCAACAAAAAGCAAATTGCCTTTCAGAAGCATATATAAACCCTGACACCAAAGCACCTTTCAGACAAACACCTCTCCTAGCCCTCGAATAGAGCAGCGCAGAGCTGGGCATTAGGCAGTGGGAGCAGCCACCAGAATGGTCTTCTTAACTTTGCAGGTAAATACTATTTTGTGTACAGAACTTATCCATCTCCGATCTTTCCTTTCTCACTTTAAGGAGGTCTTGTCGCTTTCCAGGCGGTTCCCAGAGTGGTCAAAATTGTCATGGCATTAAATGGGAACCTGCCCCAATATTGACAAAACCAGACGGTTTTCACAGACACTTTATTCACATTTACTAACCCCTTCCTTCCATGGCTGCTTCTTTTATACATCCCAAATGTGTTCTGCACGGTGCCGTGGTGGGGTTGCTGTTTTTGGGATGTTCTGTGTGGTTCTGTCTCCTCCTGCCCGCTCGGAGCTGGTCCTGCTCGCGGCTGCAGGAGGCTCCCATGGCAAATCTGCTTGTCTGTGTGCCCCTTCCACTGCACTGCTCGATTTCCCTGGCTGTTCTTGGCACCCCTGCCGGGCTGAGCTTTGGAAAATATTTTTTTTTTTTCCTCCTTTAAATATGTCTGCTCTGAAAGTGAGCTTTATCCTCTCGTTTGATCCGTGCCTTCCACTGCCATGTTAGAGGCACAACCAGTAAAACGGCTCTGAAAAAGTTCAGGCAGCTTGGGTGACAAATGATCTTTCTCTGTCTTTACTCTAGAAATCTCAGAAGTTCCTGGCGAGCTCCCGGCAAGTGCATAAAACTGCTGCTCACGGTTTGTATCCGTCTGCCGAACCCTATCCTTTTTAAAGAGCATCTCCAGATAATTGTGTACTTGCTAAGTATATTGAGATAATCCTCTCAAATTCTTGGAAGATAAAGAGTGCTCGGGGGGGGTGGGGGGGTGGGTCCTGTTACACTGATTATTGCCCTGAGTGGAACAAATGATAAAAATGCTGATTACCAGCCCTGTGCTTAAATGGAGACTTTAACTGGCTGAGAACCAGACTTTCCAAATTCTTACACTTTGGCCATAAATTGAAGAAATTTGAATTGCAGCTGTCATTGCATAGATTCCTAACTCCTGTGTTTTCCCTTACATCTTTTTCACATCTGACCTTGCTCTTAGCGTTACTTGAAGAGATTCTCTGATTACTTTCCCTGTCTCACAGCTGCATACAGCTTCCCTCTTCAGACAAATCGAGCATGGCTGGGCGGTGCAGCCCTTGGTCTGTTATAAATGTTGCTTATTAACTTCAATTTGAATGAGTTCTTAATGAAATAAATGCAATTTGTGGCACTTCAAACACTTGAAACAACAGAAATAATAATCCATGCAAATCCATTTGCTCTTAGCGAGTTTTGTTAGAACAGTCTCATTTTTTTAATTCAGTTCTGTAGTAGGGCTGCCATAGCAGGATGAAAACACTGCTGTCATTAAGTGTCTTTAATTGAAGGGTTAACAAATATCACCGCCACAGTGACAAAGAGTAATTGATTACAGTAAAACAACATTTCATGGGTGCAGCGCAATTCCGGCATATTTTCCTCCAGCCTCTCCAATCCAATTGGAGTTCAGAGTTTCCCCCTCCCCAAGGGCGTTGGTGCTCCCATTTGCAGTGTAAGGGAGATGCCCACAGGGAGGGCACTGATTTGGTCTGCAGAAGGGTTTTCAAACTGCTGAGTGGTACAGATTCCTATAGTGATCCATTCTGCAGAGCTGCTGCAAGGGGTGATTTTTTTTCTGTGAGTCACAGCAATGATGACATTCTCAGCTGTGTTTACAAGTGGATTTCAGACTCCCCGGCTCTAGGTGAGTCCAAACACCATTGCAAGCAAACTGTGAGTCAGTAGTCATGACATTTAAGAATGAATGCATCCTAGTGAAATTAGGGAATGGTCATTTTGTCTAATTGGGAAAATTTCTGTTTAAAAAATATGGTGTCATGTGTACTTGTTGATTTTGATGATGTTTCCTCCAAGGTGTTGAAAGAAAGTGTTTTTATTTTCTTGATTTACTCACCTTGACTTCTTCATGTATTGGTTTCATTTGGTTTCATTTGTCTTTTATTTGTATACATGCATCTATGTACCAGCACGCACATTTATAAATACATATACGGAGTTGAAATCATGCAAATACTAGCTATAGTGAATTTTATAGTTTTCCTACTCTCATGTGAGCCTCTCATAATGATATTATAAATTATAGTGGATCATAATAACTGTAACTCTATAAATTCATCAAAACAAAGCAATTTGTCACTGAAATAAAAATGGTTCCAAATTGGATATTTTCCATAGAATTGTAACACCTTCAAAGATCTGGAAATGGTGACTTCCAATATAAAGGTGCCAATAGTCAGTGCTACCTGCCCATATCTACCTTACAGGTCATAAATACAGACACTAACTTTTCCATGGGAAGCTGAATGTGTTCCTTCCTACCTAACAGCAAAGGTATTTTCAGAGATGGAGATAAACTTCCCCTTGAATACCAATCTCAGGTGATCTTCTGGTTTAATGCCCTTCTGAAACAGAGGCTATAAATCCTCTGATATTTTGAGCCGAATAATGAAAGGATATATAAAGGAATTTTTCTTCTTAAGCACTAGCATCCTTTTCAGTCCATAGGGCTTAAGAACTTTGCTTGCTGGCTGAGTCCAGACTCCTCACTCTTCACAGGACCAAGCTTATTGAAAAATCCAAGTTTGGGGTCTAATGCTGCTTGGCAAAAATAATGGAAGCTATAGCACATAATTGGGATGAAGTTCCAGCTATGTGACCCAAGGGATATTCTGGCCACATCCTGCACTCTCCACCTGTCTTTCCTCTTCATTAATTTGAGTCAGACCAAAGGGTGAAGAGCTGCGAGCTGTCATTACATGTTCCATAGACTTTTAACCCCCTCCTCTCTTTTGGTGCTGCAGTGGTGGCCAGGAGTGCTCCGGAGGAGACTGTGACCAGCAGCTTTGCCTCCTTCATCCACGCAGTCCGACCTGAGCACCTGTCCAAGATCGTCCGTCACAGAAGCAAGAGGATGATCCTTGACAGCATTGGTGTTGGCCTTGTGGGCAGCACAACCCATGTGTTTGATATTGCTCTGAAGTACTGCCTGGTAGGAGCAGCTTCATATTACTGTGTATTTGTGTGGCCCCCACTGCGACCCCGTCAGCACAGCCATGACCTTATCTCATGGATACTGTAGGACTTTGCCTTGCAGAAGGGCATCATACAATCCCTTCTTCACTCAAGATCTAATCTGAATCTCCTTTTCACAGGAGCTGTACTCTTCAGTTGCTGTGAGCAATGTCTATGGCAAGCCTGGTGTGAAGCTGTCCCCGACTCTGGCTGCGTTCACTAATGGCGTTGCGGTAAGGCAGGCTTTTCCAGGAGAAATGCTGCTTTGCAGTGCCTTCAAAACAGTAATTAGTATTACAGGAAGACATCTAGGTGCTTTGGAGGGACAATGGAAGCCAAGAAGTCATGGTTGGCTCTGTAGTCTTGCGAACTGTTTTTAGAGGGGAATAACCAGCAACCATAGGGATCTCTGCATTAGAGGTGGAAGTTGCTGTAGCCTCAGAGATATTAGCAAGGATCCCTTCAGCTCTCACCCATCCCACTATCATGTTCTTATCTACGTTTGCCTGACAGACTCACTCCATGGACTTTGATGATACCTGGCACCCTGCTACTCACCCATCAGGGGCTGTTCTTCCAGCTCTGCTGGCAGCTTCTCAGATGCTACCTCCAAACTCCAAACCCAATGGCCTGGATTTCCTGCTGGCATTTAATGTGGGCCTGGAAGTGCAAGGAAGGCTCATGCATTTCTCCACCGAGGCTCACAATATTCCCAAAAGGTAAATCTTTTTGTTCACCTAGTAGACTGGTGTGAATGGTAAGAGCTAGAGCATGGTGTAGTAATTTCAGGAACAAAAACAAGCATAAGCATGCGACTTATCTCCCTGTGGTAGCTCATGCAGCTTTATGGGCTCAGTGCTACTGTACCAAGCCCTCTGGGGAAATGTCCAGGTCACAAACAAAAGCAGAGGTCAACCATATTTCCCCAAAGACTCAACATGGCCACAGAGAGTGAGCATGAGAAGAGGGTTGGTGTGTCTGTTCATGGGCTTGCTCATGGTTTTAAATGCCACTCTAAGACTGTCTGAACTCAAGATGAGGATAAAGGTCTGCTGAGAGACAGAGGCCAATTCTGCCAGGGCTAACAAGGCACCACTTATCTCATGTTCATTTGGTGACCTTCAATGATCTTTGCCCCAAAATAACCACCAAGACAATTGAGATTCTGGTGTGGTCCCAGGGAGAACATCAACCAGGACATGGTGCCATCGGGAGTGTGGCATAAGGACACTATATTTGTGTGGAAGGGTGAAATTTTGGGTGAAAATTTAGCAATATGGGCACAAGTCATGCCACCTCTTAGAGAGAACAAAAAAAAGCTTTCTGGAGATGGTAATCTTACTCTTCTTTCTCCAGTGAAGTTTCAAGCAGATGCTTAGTCTGCATATGGCTAAATATTGAGTCATGAGAACCTTTCCACCACAGATCCATGAGAGATTTCCACTGGTTGATTTCCATTGACACTTCCATGCTTATACCTGCAATTTTCCCTTTAGGTTCCACCCTCCTTCAGTAGTCGGTACTATGGGCAGTGCTGCAGCCACTGCAAAGCTGCTGTCTCTCAGCATGACCCAGTGTACCCATGCCTTGGGCATCGCTGCTTCACTCGCAGGAGCACCCATGGCAAATGCTGCCACACAAGCCAAGCCATTGCATATTGGGAATGCCACCCGCCTGGGCTTTGAAGCAGCACTGCTGGCTGCCCGAGGAATGGAAGCTAACCCTTTCATTCTGGATGATATCTCTGGTTGCTCTGGATTCAGTGCTTTTTACAGCATCTATCAACCCAGACCACTGTTGACACCAAGTGAGCATCATGAGTTCCTCTTGGAGAAACAGGATATTGCTTTCAAGCGATTCCCAGCCCACCTGGGGATGCACTGGGTGGTGGATGCTGCCTTGTCCGTTCGGAACCTCTTCATCAACTATGCAGGGTCCTTCTCTCCCTCTTTGATCCGTACCATTGTGCTGAAGATCCCAGTGTCAAAGTACATCAATAGGCCTTTCCCCAACTCAGAACACGAGGCCAGACACTCCTTCCAGTTCAATGCCTGTACAGCCCTGCTGGATGGAGAAGTGGGCCTCAGCTCCTTCACAGAGAGCAGCATCCACCGGCAGGAGCTGAGGGAACTGCTCCACAAAGTGGTAGTGGAACACCCTGAAGATAATGTGGCTAACTTTGACAAAATGTACGGAGAGGTGGCAGTGCTCCTGAAGAGTGGAGATGTCCTGACAGGCAAATGTGACACTTTTTATGGGCACTGGAGGAAGCCTCTCAGCAGGGAATCACTCCTGAAGAAGTTTCGATCCAATGCCTCTCACGTGCTTCCAGAAGAAAAGGTAGAAACCATCATTACTATGGTGGACAATCTGGAGAACCTGTCAGATAGCTCCCATCTGGCCTATAGCCTGTGAAAGAATGCGTTTTTGACAAGGGATTTATCTCAAAGAAACTGATTCCTTTCTTTGTTGGTGCTTTACTATTCTTTTCCAGTGATAGGAAAGTTCTTATCCCTTAAAGTCAAAGTAGATGCGTTAGTATCACAGAAGTCCATGAGGCAAAAAGTGTGTCTGTGTAATTAGTACACAGATTAAATTTGACTCAGTTGTTTCTGAGTAGCTGAAAGCTGACTACAGATGCCAAACCTCCCATGGATCTATGAAAATCCTGGGGTATTATCTTGAAGCTGGTTCCCTACAAAGGAGAGTCCAGATATTTTTAAAGTTGTGTTCAAGGTTTTTTCTGTATAGAATGCCTAACTGCTGAGTCTGGGAAGAGAAGAGGAGGACACTCAGCTGCAAAACGTGTGCTTTCCTTAATGCTCCTCTGAGCACTTTTTGGATCATGATTAGATAGTTGTACTGGATAAATGAAAAATCTATCAGAGTTACTGTAAAAAGCCCTGCCTGCAAAACTCTCAAGCAGAGAAGGATTTTTTTTTCCAGCAAAACCTTCCAATATGTCCAGTATTTAGGAAGTTGTTGTCACTTCTCTATGTAGAAGGAATGGTTAAGTGACTCTTAAAGCCTCTATGTCTTATCTGAATGAAAGGCGGCCAATTGAGGAATCCTACATCAGTCCTACATTTACATCCTACACCTTCTGCAAGGTGATCATAGTGCTGTGGCACATCATCCCTCCTGGGTTTGGACAGATCACCCAGGCAGCCATCAGAGCTAGCTTTCCAGAGGTCATCTTTGTAGTCAGTGAAGAGATGGACCACTCTGGATTGTCACTTGGGTACAAACATGCTATGATTCACATTGGGAATTTCCTATTTCTCTTCCCTGACAGGGGAGAAAACATAAAGAGGAAACCCCTAAATCATCTTTCTAGCTGTGGTAAAATCTATAACTTGTACTCCTGAGTAACCATTCACTGAAAGAATTATTACATTTAGTTCTTTTTGAGCAGCAAGATGGAGAACTATGCAATATTCCTATGCTCATCAAACAAATACTGACTGCTGATCCAAAGGACTCGTTTCCAGTATGATCATGATGTAGATACAGAACCTGCTGGGAAATTCAGGGTTGTCTTCTGCTGAGAGGACTGAGATGGGACTAGACAGGCAAGAAGCAATGTGGGCTGTTTCATTTTTAGCTTGCTAGTAGTGGACTCTGCAAAGAACTTCCAAGTCAGAAGAAAATATTTGCCCAACTGATGTAATCCACTCATAATGTAATCCTCTCATACTGTCTAGCATAGTTACTCTGAATCTTTCTAAATAAAGAAATGAAGTGAATTCTTTTTATTATTATTATTGCACAAAAATCTAATGCCGCATTATGTAGTCTTTCAGTTTTAATTCAAACATATACAATAGAATGGCTTTCAAATAAAAGGGGAAAGCAACAGAGGCTAGCAGAGGCTAGGAGGGGATGAGCTGAAGTTGAAGCAGAGATCATTGATTGTCATCAGTCTTCCATCTGAGAGGAATTGGTCTGTAGATACTATGGTGAGTCTTCCTGGCAGTCATCAGCACCCTGGAGAGCGGCCGCGGCCCCGGGGCTCCCAGACCGAGGGCCCGGTTCCCAGCTGTCCCCATCCCCAGGGTCCCCTTTTGCTCTCCACGAGCAAAGCAAAGGGTGAGTTTCCATATCCCATGGGAAAGCCTATCATTCATTCCCACAGGTGGTTTGATCCGAACTGCAGGCTGCCTTCTCTCCTGCCACTGCCACTGACACAAGTTTTGGGTAATGGGAAGCACTGCATTTATTAAGATTTGGGTTTTTTTCCACCATGGACTTCACAGGATATACCATCAGAAAGTTTTTTGTTTTTTCTTTTTAAAGCTCAATTCGCGGATTATTTCTATTTTAGAGGTGATTTTGCCTGTAGAGATCAGAAAAGGCTCACTCTGTCTTCCAGCACTGTTTCCTTGAAGATAACGTTACTACCGCAGTGTGGCCATCTGAGGAACTGCTCTCCTTGAAAAACCCCAAGTAACCCCTCTTTGTTCTTTTATGCTTTTCAATAATTGAAGGAATTAAAGAAAGAAGGAAACTTACATAGTGACGGTCTTAGACAACCAGGCTAGGCTGAAAGTGGAGCCAATTTAGAATTTCTTTGCCTGATACCACTGTCCCCTCAGCACCCTCTTTCTCCCTCAGCTAGATTTTTGCAGGCACTTGAAAAGTGATAGGATTCTGTTCATGTGGGATGGGAGAAGTCAGCAATGAGATATCTAGCGTTACACATCCTCCTCTCCATGCAGCCACCTCACTGCTGATTTCTCCCATCCCAGATTAACAAACTCTGTCACTTTTTAAGTATTAATGCAGAGTTGAGTATGACACACATCTTCAGTCTTGTGAACAATTTGTATGTCAGACACTGGAGCCCAGTCCCCAGTTCCTAGATAGGCAGTATGTTTCAGCAGGACACACCTTCTAACAAAGACGTGAAATCTCAACCGATGTTGATTTATAAAAGTAGGAGGGTATATTTAGGTTAAATATAAGAAAAAAAGATTTTTCAGTGAGGGTGGTGAGGCATTAGAACAGGTTGCCTAGTGATACAGTTGATGCCCCATGCCTAGAAACTTTCAGAGTGAGGCTGGGTAAGGCCCTGGGCAATGTAATCTAGCTGTGGTGTACCTGTTCATTGCTGCGGAGTTGGACTAGATGGCCTTCAGAGGTCCCTTCCAACTCCAAGTATTCTATGATTCTGTGATTCTATGATTCATATCCAGAGGTAAGATCTCGTCAAGCCAGAGCTAATCTTGCTTTGGGAAAGCTCTGATGCAGTTCTATGTCTCTAGCTGGGATTTGAGCCTCGTTCTCAGTTTACAAAGTTAATGCTGACATTTGCATCAGACTTCCTACTGCAACACAGGCAGAGAATGGGTCGTGGTTAGGGCTCCCCTCCACTGGCTTCACTCTTATCTGTGATGTACCTAGAAACTTCAATCAGATTCTCATCAGGGTCTCGGAAGTATACAGATGTTATTGGACCCACAGCACCAGTCCTGGCCACAGGTCCTTCTTCAATTATCACTCCACAAGCCTGGGAGGAAAAATAAGAGCAGGGTTTTAATGCTCAAGGGAATCTTAAAAGATTCCAGTCTTGCAAATATGAATTGTTGTATGAGAAAATTCTGACATTCTCCAAAGCACAGTCCTTAAAAGTGTCACTTGTGAGGCTGCAGCTTAGTGCCTCCTAGTTTTACAAGGATTTGTGTTACTCTGAGCCTTCCTTACCTTCAGATGACCCAGGAGATTGTCCAGGGATGCCTCTGTGATAAGGCAGATATCTGCAGAGCCAGGGACTGGGCATCGAGCTTTGGGTTCAAACTCCTTCCCAACTTCATGCAGGTTAAACTTCTGGTTTCCAAAACGTAAAGCTTTGCGATTTCCCTGTCCCCGAGTAAAAGAATAAATCTCCAATGAGACTTCCTGGATTGGAAGCTTTTAGCATCCCCTCAGCTGTGTAGTCTTGAAAGTTCTGGGAACTTGGTTGTAATGCTGATAACTTTGGGCCCTTGCTGTGGCAACTCAAGGCAAGAAGTGACTGCTGCAAGGCTCCAAAACATCCCTCCAGATGCAGTGACCCGACAAAGTCCCCTGGCCACATGTAACTACTTCCAAGATCTGATGGTACAAGTGCTCAGTTTTGGGAATCCTGCCTGTCAGACAGGCAGGATAGTAGTAGTAGTAATAATAATAATAATAATAATAATAATAATAATAATGCACATTTTGAGAGCAGCAGAGTGAACAAAATTGAGGCAGTCAGAAGACACTGAGGTTTGAGCGCCTCTTTTCTTTGCAGATGGTCAAGATTTCTGCAAGCTTACATAGCAACTGAGTGCCAAGCTGTATGGAAATGCAAGGCAGTGAGTTGCTATTTGTGCCGCCTGAAAAATAAATCATTGCTCACTGCAGTCCTGGAATGTAAATGGAACTGATTTTAAGAGGCCTGATGGAGTAGGAGACAATTAAATAGGTTTTGGAGTTAATGAGGTGCAATGGATATGGTCAAAACATGTCAAGTTGCCCTATGATTAGGCAAGAGATGCATTGGTGTTGTTCTGAAAATGTTAGCTATCCTGTCTTAAGTTTGCCAGTGGATCCCCAGCACATGAAGGATTCAGAGCTGTTGGAGAGGTTAAGGAGAAGGCTCATGAAGATGATCAAAGTTCTAGAGCACTTCTCCTATGAAGACAGGCTGAGGGAGCTGCACTTGTTTAGCCTGGAGAAGGCTCCAGGGAGACCTCACTGCGGCCTTCCAGTACTTAAAGGGAGCTTAGAAGCAAGAGGGGACTAACTTTTTGCACAGTATAATAATGATAAGACAATGGGAAATGGCTTTAAATTAAAAGAAGGGAAATTTAGGTTAGATGTTAGGAAGAAATTCTATACTTAGAGGGTGGTGAGGCACTGAGACAGGGTGCCCAAAGAAATTGTGGATACCCCATCCCTGGAGGTGCTCAAGGCCAGGGGCAGCCTGAGCTGGATGGGGGAAGCCAGCCCATGGCAGAAGGTTGGAACTGGCTGGGCTTAAATTTCCCTTCCAACCCAACCATTCTGTGAGTCCAAAGAAGCTTTGTGAGCTTGAGTGGTCTTCTTCAGTCTTAGATATTGTTTTTCAATAACAATTCCTCCTTTTCTTTGGGGAGGGGGGTCACTTTGGCTCCTTCTGCAGTGTGGTTTGAATCTTTCTTTGACTCAGCTTGACCCTACTGAAACTCAGGATTTAATGGCCTGCATCTTGTGCTGGTTCTACCATCCCCACACTATGGAAATGACCCAGATCCCCCGTTAGAACCAGGCACCAGTCCAGGACTGCAACTCCAAGTCCTAGAGACCCAAGACTTGCTTGGCCCCTGTTACCTTGAAAGTCACCACCTCCATGCCCAGGACTTTGGAATAAAAGGCAGCAGTGTCCTCAATACTCTTAACAGTCAACACAAGGTGGTCCAGGCGCTGGATGAAACACGGGGGTGGATTCATACTCTTCTCCTTCCAGGACATCATCTCAGAACTGGGAACAGAGTGCAAAACCACAGAAAATGAAGGTTAGGAACATCCAGCTGCTTAGGGAAATGATCCAGGCAGCTGTGAACTGAACCACGAATGGAGCACAAATGGGTTTTCTTCTGGCCTGCAGGTGGCACAAGTACAGAAGCAATAAATTCTCCACTCTAGAAGGGGCTCAGACCCCTCCATAGCTCTGGTTGGATATGTCAGATCCCCTGGCTGGCGTCACATCTGGAGAACTAACTTGATCACTTCATTTATGGCTGAACTCCCCAAGAACCCTGTGTGCACTAGGAATGGACCATGCGTATGAAACTTCCATCCCAGAGACTGGGAATGTCTTTGCCACCATGGAAAATAAATAGATTTAGCTCTGACAGCTTGATTAGGTATTTGAGGGATGAGAAATTTTCATTTTCTTTCAGTTTTGATTGATTTTATGTGTAGAAAACCAAGCTGTGGAAACTAGGAGAGTTGTGACAATAGCAAATGGAGTCAAGTTGCCTTTAAATCACTAACGACTTACCTACATTTATTTCTCTCTCTCAAAAAGCCCCAAATCCTGACACAAATGACAGTTCACTTTTCTGAGACCCTCCCTACATTCCCCATCTACACCACTGTGCAAGGGAATCCCAAATCTCCTGCTGCCTCTCAGGGAAATAAATTGATGGCAGATAAACCTGTTAACATGAAGGCAGCACAAAGAAGCACAAATTGGGAAAATAAGCCACAACGTTGACCCCTTTTTGCCTTGTTTTTTGCCTTCAAACTCCTTCCAGCAGCAAGCAGTGCGTGAATCTGATACCTGAGGTTCATGGAGATGCAGCATCCAGACACAGGGAGTTTAGCAGCCTTGATTGGCAATGGGACTTGGCTTTTTCTTGTATGCTGAGTTCATATCATCTGGCATTGCCTGTCTGTACATGGGAAATGGCTGACAAAGCCTGGCTGACAGTGTGAAACCAGTCACAGCTTTACCAGGACATCTCACCCCTGCAGTCAGAGGAACTCATTCTACTTCTTGTCACAGATGGCGTTTAGTCGTTGACAACTTCACCTCCAATCTGCCTGGACTCTGAGCCTCCACAAAGCCCTTTCCTCCCAGCACGTTCTCCTGGGTGCTCCTCAGCTGCGTGAGCTCTTTTGTCCCAGCTGCAGCAAACTTCCCCAAGACCTTCCTGTCCCTCATGAGCTACAAGCTTGTTGGCCCCTCAGCAAACACAAGGGAACCAGGCTGCAAAAAGAGGATGCGTACCTGAAGGAGAAGCAGAGCTGGGTGAGCCGGTGCTGGATTTATGACTGTCTTTTTCCTGCTGCCTGGAGCTGAGCAGTGCGAGGAGACACGTCACAGGAGAAAGGGGAAGACAATTAAAAAAAAAAAAAGTGCTTGAAACAGGAACTCTAAGCACTGCTACTTGCAAAGGTGTACTTTGACCTGAAGGTTGGGAAACATAAACCACACAGACTTGCTTGAAATATCTGGAGTATATAACAACTTACCTTTCCCTTTGGTAGGGAAAACTGTGTTCATCTGCTAAATTCAAGCACATTATTGAGCTTGGAGCTCAGACTGGGGTGACATACTGCTAAGAATAAAGTAAAAATGTTCCTAGAGAAGTCATGGCAAGAAGCTGCAGCAGCCTCCTTTCCCTGCCTCTTTGCCTCCAGGATTATTTTATGTCATTCTGTGTGTTAAGGTCTTACACCCTGTGAGACATTCGCTTTCTCAGGGAACACTGCAAGCTCCCAGGTGCTCCCAGCTGGTAAATGAATCTCTGAGCTAAAGAAGTCATGCTACCAGCCAGCATAGAGCAACAAGCAATAGCAAAGGAGCCTGAGGGTGAAGTGCACAGCTTTGGACACATTTTTGGACACATCTCTGTGCAAGCAGACTTGTCCAAAGGGGACCTCTATGGCCAGAGGCAGAGTTAGAAATCTACAAAAAACGAATCAGCCAAAAATAGAATGGAGTTTTGAAAAGTCTGAAGCTTGTAAGACCTAACTATCTCTGCAATTTCTGCTCTGCTTTCTACTCCAGATGGCATGATCGAGAGGTTCAACAGTCCTATAGTGGGACTGGCTGGCAGACAGAGAGACAAACATAGGTAGGTGGATTTGCCAACCTTCACTAGCGAGTGAAAAATCCTTTTTTTTTTTTTTTTTTTTTTTTATTAAAGCAATTCTTACAGGTGCCGGTAACACTGACTTTGAGGCCAGACAGTCTTTGAGGGCACTAATAGCCTTTAACAGTTGCGGGACCTCCACCCACATCTACGGGTCCAGGAGCCAATGGAAGCTCAGCTCTGGGCCTTAAAACTTTCTGAGTGATAGCATGTTGTCGGTCTCTAGCACAGGCCATGATGTTCCTCTGCATGGCAATGCACCTTGTCCTGGATCCTGACCATGTGCTACTGCAGACCTGCATGATAATGATATGCATCCAGATTCATTAGAACTACATCAGATGGTCTGATTTACAGGACAAGTGCCATTTGTAAGAATGGACAAGGTCATCCTGGTCAGGGGAGGGAGAGGGGTTGGTTTCACTGCAGAAGACTGCATGGAAAAGGAGACTGACATCTGGGCTAGAAAATGGTCCCTACCTGTTATGATGTTTCAGAGGGTTCTTTGAAATCAGACCATCCAAATAGTGTGATCAGTGCTTTTATTTGCTTTGACTGACACTTTGCATTGAACCAAGCAGTTCAAGGTCTTTAGTATTTTACAGATAAGTATGGATAATTTGTTGGCCTCCAGATCAAGATAGGATGCAAGAATTATGTAAATGCCATATTTTTTAAAAACAAAAATATAACATTAAACTGTAACATTCTAATGGAAGGTTTCAAAATATAATGGGGTAGGAAGAGACCTTTGTTGACAAACCAATTTCCCTGGGAAACTAAAACAGTAGCATTTTCTCCACTCCCAGCGTAGAGTGACTGTGCACGTTCTGACCTGTGGATATAACAACACTGCACACACAGGGGTAGCTTGGTGCATTGAGAGCCTTGTGCTTCAGCATGGGTTCACAGTAAAATCTGAGAGTGAATAAAAAGAAGAGAATTCCTGAAGAGATGACTCTCAGTGTTCAGCTATATGTGGCACTGGGCAGTAGTTTGTTGAAGAGGCGCAGCAGGGGCACTAGCTTTGGTGGAAATTTGAGGTTTGGAAGTTTTTTTTCATTAGATGAACAATGATTTCTGAGGTGGAGCTCAATATATCAAATTCCAGCCTGGGAAGGGTTTTACATTTGAGTTTAGCTTCCTACAGGTGCAGCTGCAGAGGATCCCTGAGCTGTTCTCCATGAACATCTTCCTCTACATGCTGGACAGAGTGATGGAGTTGAAGTAGCTTAGCAAATCCTCCCTAGTGAATTCCATGGTGATCCCTGACCCCACATAGCAGCGTTGGATCAGATCTTCAAATTCTCGGTACTGGCGTAGCAGCTCCTGCTCCATAGCATGCCACACAACCTAGGGAAAAGCAGAACATCAGCCTATGATAGCTATACATGAAGGCAGAAGAGTAAGCCATGCATGCTCTGCCATACTAAGGTAGGGCACAGCAGTAGTAAGGTACTAAGGCATTTCATCACCAGAAGACACTGCGTTGTAGCCCTGGATTCCCCCAGAAGATCATAGCATCAGACACAGATCACACTGCAGTTACCGGAAAAAGGTTTTCCTCTGGGGAAAGACACTTGTGGATTTTTCTGTAGAGGATCTCGAGGGCTCTTTTTACTTCCTTGCCAGGGTATCTTTCAATGACTTTCCTCAGCTCTTGCTTGCTGTAGGCCAGCTGGAAACTGATCTCCTCTTCTTTCACCCCCTGAGCAACACGAGCTTTCAACCCTTCAAAGAAGTGCTGGAAATGCAAGGAGGCATCAGCTGATGAGGTGCCCTAAGATGGACTTCTGTGTCAGGGCTGGGGCCTGGCTGCTCTCCTCAGTTCCCTCTCTTTGAGCGGAAACAAAGAGATTGCTTGTCTCGTTGGGAAAGCTTTAGGGAATTTCATCTGTTCTACCTTTCCTCCCTGCTCAGCACGTAGGATCCCTAGGTGTTACATTACTGTGGAGCAATGGGATTGCTGAAAAATCACTTGTGCTCCTTGGGACTTCATACAGCTTTGCTCACCAGAAAGGTTTTGAGATGAATGGGGTAGGGATCTGAAAATCTGCTAAAGTGTAAAGCAAACTCCAGTTTTCTCAGTTCTTCCAGTCTATACTGTGTGGAAACAGGAAAGGCTGGTGCACAGGGAGGTGTTTCAAAAGGATCATATATCCAACCAGGGGCATGGCTGCTTCTAAGAGATCAGGGCTATGCCAACCCAAAATAATACAGACCTCAGCTAGTTTCCAGGAGCAGTGGAGCTTCTCAAAATCTCAGCTTGCTCAGTGCAATACAGGTTTTTCTACCTGCGCTTTTGTCAACATGGAACCCATTGGGACCTCTGGAGATCTCTAGTTCAACACCCTGCTGAAAGCAGGATCACCACTGAACTTTAGATCAGGATGCCTTGGGCATTTCTCAAGGTAGATTTTAAGAATCTTCAAGAATAGGCTGTTACACCTCCCAGGACAGATTTTTTCAATGTTTTATTATCCTCACAGTGTTTGTTGTTGGTTGTTTTTTTCCCTATCTAGCTGGAACTTTTCATTTTTTTTCCCAAAATTTGTTTTCTCACCATTCTGCTATACAATTCACATCTTCTCATGTTATGTCTTCTTAGTTACCTTCTTGGGTCCCACAGCTAGAGGCAAGATTTCAAATCTGGCCAAATAAAAGCTAAAAAGAGCACTATCAACTCTTCCTTTAATCTATAATACGCTCAATAAGCTGTATGCTGTCTCAAGTATCTCTGCTGCAGTTTGCAGTGGAGAAATTCACTAAGTCATAAGGATTTTCAGGAGAAAAGAGATTCCTAAACATGAATTCTTTTCACAAACAGGCATTTGATCCTAGATTACATAGGTATCTTTGCAGTATTAGTGAATCAAGCTCAAGCCTGATGTGCTACGTAGGCTGTAAGAGATAGCTGTGCCGAATGTCTGAGCAGTGCACAAAGCACCCTCACGTTACTTCGAGCAATGAAATTGTACTTTCCCTCAGAGAGGAAGGATTTGAAGGTATCGACATATCAGTGCTGAAGGTAGCACGAGATGCCAAACAGATCATTCAGTCAAACCTACAAGGTGTTTGACAGCAAAGACTGGAAACAAATTGAAAGGAACAGGCCCAATAAATAATTCAAATGGAGATGTTTTAGGTCGGTGAGCAGGTTGAGGAGGAGCAGAGCAAGGATGGGTCTTGGGAGCAGCTGCTGTCTCAAAGGAGGGGGGATGCCTGAGTTAGCAAAGCTGTATGCTTTTAGCTCAGTTAACAAAGCAGCCATTCAGGAAGCATGAGGCTGGGCTAGACTTATTGGTCCAGGCAGCCGTGTAAAAAAAGAAACTAGCATCTGCCAGACAGAGGCACGCAACCCAGAGTAGGAGCACAACAGTGCCTTGCACCACGGCCATGAGTTGCAGAGGGACTTCAGAGCTGGCCTCTGCTGGTCCCTTGTTCTTCCAAGGGAAGCTGACACTGAGCTGTACCACAAGAATCAGCAGTAAGTGGTCAGAGAAGGCGTGGGAATTTCAGCTCATGACTTCCTGTACTGTTTATTGCGGTCATAGATGAGTTGCTCCCTTAATCTTATAATACATATCTTAAAACTATATTTTTTAAACCCTTACTAATCTTTGTTGCAAACAACCTCCATTCCATCCTGTTTTCTAGATTTTCTTTGTTTATTTCTCTCCTTAGGACCCTTCTCAGTGGATGCATAAATTTTGGGAGTGCAGTGACCCTTTGAGATTTGGGCAAGGGTGAAATTATTCTATACTCACATTGAGTTTTTCCAGTGGCTGGCCCAGGGACCTGATGACATATTTCTCCATGTGCTCACTATACCTTTGCTTGGCTTCTTTCTTCTTGCCCTCCAGGCACTGGATCTTCTTTTGGCACAGGAAGCAGTGAATGTGGTGGAAATTTTCCATCATGACCATATCTGTGTTCACCTTCAGGTTTGCTGAGGACAAGCTATTGACTTTAAAAAAGGGACAAATTGGGTACGGAGAGAAGACCCTACGCGATGGGTCAGGAGGGATGAGAGACACAGAAGCATTGGCCCATGCAGGTAGTCTGCATGCACCCTGCTCTGCTGGCTCAGCTGGTGGCAGGTGACTCCCAAGGCCGCAGCTGTGTGGTTGCTACCAATCTTGGTACTCACTGCTGTTGAAGACGCTATCAGCCAATCTGAGGTGTGCCTTGTCCAACTCTGCTCTGCGCTGAGCCGTCCTGAACACCGCCTCCGAGAAATTCACAAACTCCTC